CTATCTGAGAGGCAGCAAGTGGTGGGGGGGGGAGTGACTAGTCAACTATTCGATAAGCACTTGTTTATCAGATAGTTGACTAGTCCTTAATATCCCTAATATACATCCCTCCACAAAAACCTCTTGCGCAAAAGGGATCCAAGGAGGAAATGCAAATGAGTGCTCCATTTGCATTTCCTCTTGCGGAAAAGGGAAACAATCAGACATAGCCTAAGTGTGATGCTGTAATGCTTCATCAGCGTTTGCTAACAGTGCTCTGAGCCCCTCAACTTAAAGAAGCGACAAAAATAGAACAGGTTTTTCACTAGCCCCCCTCTGGGAAGAACTGGCATCACCTGCATGAGCAGCTGTATTGCTCAGCTCATTCAAAGGAATAACACAAAGAAGGCAGGGGAAGAAAATGCACTTTGCAAGGGATGAGGATCCATTCATTTCGCAGCTTCCCCCAAAGCAGGCTTTGTTGCAAGCTGTGTGAGAATGACTATTGGAACAGGGACAAAGTCAGACAGTAATTCTCTCATTTAGATGGTTTGAAAGAAATAGCTACATCATCATTCCCATTACAATAGACAAGCCGTTTTTTTCCTGTTAAATCAGCTCTGCCCCAGCATTACATTAAACAGCCATTTCTTTTACAAGATATATTTAAAAACCTCCACTCTACCAGAGGCCTCAGTCATTATCCTTTTTAGGCATTAAGTACTATGACATTTGTTCTAAGCCTGCTAGAATGAATTGCTGGTTTAATGCAGCTACTTTCAGAAGCTCAGGCCTCTTCTGCTCTGTGTTGAGCTGCCAATGGTGAAGACAATGACTTAAATCCAATGTGCCAGCATGACACAGGAGATGCTAATCGCAATTGCATCAGTCAGGTGAGCTTCTCAATGGGAGCTGCGTTTTCCAACACCAGGCCCCCGATTGCCAGTTCAAGCAAATACAAGGGAAGAAAAAAAAACCTTTTCCATTTCAGAACTGAACAGAGAGTATACACAACTTAGCTATAGACTCCATTTACAGCCAGCTGAGGTTAAAAATGAGAGGGAGAAGGGAATAAATGGTACACGTGCTGCTTCAGAAATTCCACTGTTTGCCTTGGCTTATTTTTTCCCCCACCCATCTTACCTCGTGGAAAAACTCCAGGGTCCATGAAAGTTGCCATGCTGAAGTTTGCAAGTACGAACAAGAACAGGAGCCCATTGTACACAGGAATGGCTGGGGAGATGGCTCTTGTTAGCCAGGGGCACCTGCAAACAGAAAGAATGATACATGAGGTCTTTTAATGATGTAACTAGCTGCAGCTTCCTGTTCAGAGCATGAAAGCAGAGGCCACCCCTTAATAGTTCCCACTGGTCATACAATCATTGAATTTGTTTACCCAGGAATTAAAGCTGGTTCAGTGATCTATAGTACATGTCACCTGCCCTCTGTAAAGAAGAATAGTTCTACAGGACAGACAGGACTCAACTATTTGTAGGGTTTTTGAGTTATGGAGCAATCTTTTCTTTTTCCGATGATCTAATACTTTACTTCTTTGTGCCATTGCTGCACCTGTCATGGCACTTCTCTTATCAGTGGCAAAATTCTTTTTCAGTCATTAAAACAAAATAACTTTATGCCTTCAACTGGGGTTACTCCTCATTTCAACTAGTGTTAGAACCAAATTTTTCAATCACCAATCTCCTGAGGATGTACAAATAGGAAAACAAATCATTTCCACTAAGCTCTTCTATTTCCTACTCAATTCTCCCCAAGGAGAGCCTTAGGCCCATAAATATCACTCATGGATGTCAATGCACAACCTCTCTTGATAGGGAAAGTGCAGGGTAAAAAGCATTAGGTAAAATTAGTATTAGCTCTGCAGGGGTCAGCAGAATGCAAGCATTTAAATTATTGTGCATTCCAGAAGCAAGGAGTTTTGTAAAGAGTGTAGAGCCAATGAGTCAAAACACAGAAGGGTTGTTCTAGCTACAAAGGAAAAGGCTCGAGCCAAGTGGGATAGGAGTACAGGTTGGACCTCCCTGGTCCGGTGCCATCAGGATCTCAGCCATCCTGCACCAGGGAATTTGCCAGACCAGGAAAGGGAAAGTTCAAAGCTCCCCAGTTGGCTGCCCCACTGCTGGCTCCTCTTTCCCACCTTGCCATTGCCCTGCTAAAGCTGGCCCAGTTGAGGCTCCCTGCCCTTCTGCCTGCAGGCTGCACCAGGAGTTCCAGGGGTTCCCCAACCCCAGCCCCTTGGCTGCCACCAGTCCGTCGACGGAGCCATGTAGATTTGTTTTTTTGGCAAAGGCAAATGAAGCCACGATTTAAATGATCGCGGCTTCATTTAAATTTACATGGGAAGACAGGATTTTTGCAAGAGGGTTTAGACAAAGTGAGAGCACCAGAAACACCTAACAAACATTCTCTAAATTAGGACAGTAACCACCCCATCCAAAATAAATACACAAAGAATAACTAAACCCTGCAAGATTAAAAACAATGCAGGCATAAATCAAGCAACAGAGTGGGGTTACGGATCCAGTTTATTGCACTGACTGCAACATTTATATTTTTTCTGCTTTGAGGGCTGGTGGCATGTTTGTGCATTTGGTGTGAGCAACCGATGGCCCTCAGCAACTAAGTAAAAGGGACTGACAAAAGTGACTGAACTAGAGGCACTTAAAAGAAAAACTGGTACACAGTTGACAGCCTTTGTTCTGTTGGAGGAAAGTCTTGAAGAACATCATCAAACAGAAATGAAGGGAAATGATCCCATAGTTGGGACCCTCCTTCCAGAGAATGTTGTCATATCCTCTCGCACTGAGGATACATCTCCAGAGGAGGGAACTCCAGTTGCTAGGAAAAGGCAGATGTTAGTGATGGGGGATTCGATCATTAGAAACATAGATAGCTTGGTTTGTGATGAGTGGGAAAACTGTATGGTGACTTACCTGCCTGGTGCAAAGGTTGCAGATCTCTCGAAACATCTAGATAGATTTATGTATAGTGTTGGGGAGGAGCTGGTGGTCGTGGTACATGTAGGCAGTGGGTACTTTTGAAAAAAAAGGGTGCTGGTACTCCAGGGGAAAGTTGTTGAGCAAAAAAAACAACAGCAGCAGCAGCAGGGCTAGCATTGCCCTTTTAAGAGATGTGGCCCCTTTAAGAGCCCAGCTAACTATCAGCCATTTTTATTACAGAGGTGACAGTACACTCCGTTCTGTCCAGGTAAGTTCTAACTGGAGGTGCTGATACTGTGTCCCAGGAAGTACCGTCTAACCGTGTCCCGGGCAGTACCGTCTAACCGTGTCCCGGGCAGTACCGTTTAAAAAAAAGTACTGCATGTAGGTACCAGTGACATAGGGAAGGTCAGGAGAGAGATTCCAGAGGCCACATTTAGGCTGCTAGGAATGAGATTGAAATCCAGGCCCTCTATGGTGGCATTCTTAGAAATGCTTCCCACTCTACGCACAGGGCCAGGTAGGCAGGGCGGGGAGCAGCTATTTTCACACTAAGACTTAACTGTTTGTGTCAGTGGTTAATATTTTACCTGGCTAATTCATGTCCTAGGTCCTCTTCCAACATGGCACTTAGATCTCCTTTTAGCAAGACTTTGGGAGTTGCCGTTTTATTCTTTGTACCACATGGCTTTGACAGCTGTCCCATTTCATGAGTTGGGTGGGAGTCAATGATTGGCCTTGATGGCTGAGTATTCCCCTAGTTAGTTCTAGGTGGGATGACATCTGTTCACATAATTGCATTTCAATCTGCCCATTAAACTCCTGTTTCCTTCCTAAAGCTGGGTGAACAACAGTGCCTAGTTTTAAAGCAGGATATTGATATAATAGTCTTTACGGAAACTTGGTGGAATGAGGACAATCATTGGGACAGTCATACCAGGGTACAAAATATATCGGAAGGACAGAACAGGTTGTGCGGGTGGGGGAGTGGCACTATACGTGACAGAAAATGTAGAATTAAATGAGCCAAAATGTTCCATAGAACCTCTATGGATGGTAATTCCATGCTCCAATAATAAGAATATAGCAATAGGGATATATTATCAACCACCTGATCAGGACAGTGATAGTGACTATGAAATGCTAAGGGAGATTAGAGAGGCTATCAAATTTTAAAAAACTCAATAATAGTGGAGGATTTCAACTCTCCCCATATTGACTAGGTACACATCACCTCAGGACAGCATACAGAGATAAAATTTCTTGATACCTTAAATGACTGCTTCTTGAAGCAACTGGCTCTGGAACCAACAAGGAGAGAGGCTATTCTTGATTTAGTCCTAAATGGAGCACAGGATCTGGTTCAACAGGTCAATATAACTGGACCACTTGGAAATAGTGACCATAATATAATAAAATTTAACATCCCTGTGGTAGGAAAAACACCTCAGCTGCCCAACACTGTGGCACTTAATTTAAAAAAGGAATTACACAAAAATGAGGAAGTGTTGGGCAGGCGCATTCTGTGACACCCTTAGTACTACAAGGACCTAAACATGCACAGATAAAGTGAAATAACACGCAATTCCCGAAAACTAATATAAAGAAAGATAAGGGAGCCCCAAAAAGTTTACATAAACATCCAAACTGAGTTGCTTATCCAAATGAAATCAGAATCTTCAGAGGTTTGCTTATAGAACTACTGAACTGTATCTAATGTTTGATCAGAGTTTCGCATACATCCTTCTCTGGTAGAATGAAACAATTTCTTTCTGTTCAAACCACAAGGTTAACAGCTCAGAGAGAATATCTTTTAACTCAAATCAATTTACACAGAATTGGGGTGATGCAAGAACAATGTGAAGTAATTGGCTCAGTGCTGTTTAGCCACGCAGACAAACATCTCAGCAATGTAGAGCCTAATTAGATAATGGGATGGGTCAACAACAAGGCATAATTTGAATAAGCCCTGGTATAAACTTCACTGACGATCTTCCAATTAGCTCTTTTCTTAGATTGTACCAGTCTGTTCTTATTTGGTAAATTCAGAATTTATTTTCCTACAATTTCTTTGTTAAAAACAATGGTTTGACATAAGTCAGATGTTACTGCACTTTATAACCGCCAACTAAGATTGGAACCTTATTATCCTAGCCACATTACAAATAGTGCCTGCTCTGAAGACCTGACAGTCCAAACAGATGAGACAAAGATTAGGAGAGGAAATGCCTGAAAAATTAAAAATGATTTGTTTCTGATTACATAGCAGGCCAGTAGCATAGCTGGAACTAGAACCCAATTTTCTTAGCTCCCAGACCAGCAGCCAAGCCACTAAGCTATACTGTTTTCTTATTTTTGGAAGTACCTGTATTAGAAATAGACCAGACCAAACCAAACAAACTTTGGAAAAGTTCAGACATGGATCTGAATTTTGCATACCTGCCCCATCTCTGCTATCAAACAGAGCAGAGCATTTAAGAGGGAGAGTTCAAAAGTTGCTTGGGAAAAGTTTGAGGTCTGTGGCACAGTCTGCATCTTCCAGTGGGGAAACACATCAGAGCCCTCTTAGCTGTAAGTGTTGAAGGGATGATGCAAGTTGAAGTAGTTTTATGATGATGTGCAATCAATATAGTGACAACAAGAAAACTTCTTCCATTTTTGGCCCCACTGAAAATCTTGGGGAATCTCTGTACATCTAAATACATAGGACCTGATTTTCAAGTGTGCCAAGCACCTCCAATAGTAAATAAAGTCCTTTATATATATAAAAAAGATGTCACTAGAATTTTTTTGGATAAAAGAGTAGGTCTGAACATCATATACAATACATGCTCCTGGATCAAAAGCACAAGCCTGAGATTCAGGAGACCTGGGATTTATTCGCAGCTCTCGCAGGTTTCCTTTGATAAATCACCAATTCTCAGCACTGCATTTGTAAAAATAAGGATAATACAGTAGCTAGTCTAGCAACTCACCACTTCTAAGAGGTAAATTAGGGATACAAAAGAATATAAAATACTTGGGATGTTATACAAAAAAGGGAGTTGGGGGCAGAAGGAAAGTAGAAATTAGAGAAATTACCAGTTTAATATTGAAACTGATGAAGAATGGACTCTGAACCTGGTAATTTGATCAAAAATAGCCACATTGAACTGGCAGGTGCAGTTATCCATCACAAATGGGTTTTTTATCATCTCTTTCATAGTGAAGCCAGAGCCAGAGGAAATCTACCTCCAGCTTAACTATGTTCAATTATTCAAAGGAAATGCACTGGATTGAAATTTAGTGAAGTTTAACAAGAGCTGATGGGGTTTGTGAACTTTCCATTACATCATGGACTTATTCCAAAGGCTTGTGGTGCATGCCTGATATAATACAGATCAGAGGAGCCAACTCAATTAAAAAGTCAACTTGAGATATAATGCCCTTTGGTGGAAATTCCTATCTGGGCCATATATCATCACCACCAAGTAACATGCTCAAAGGCCTCTTACACAGCTGCTTGAAAGTTCTATAGCATGCTTCCTTCCTCTTTTTAAATTCCAGTTTAGCTGAGAAAAGCAACTACTGTCATATGAGCTGATGCAGCTGAAGCATGGAAATAATCCATTTAGATTCTAAACAAGCAAGCATAGATGAGGTGTGCATTCTGTTCTTTTCACTTTGACATCTGTATTGCCTCTTGTGCAATGAAGGATAAAACAGACAGTGTCTTGTCCTCCATAGTGGAGAACTGCACTAACTCCAAATGAATGCTTAAAGCTACCCACAAAGCACCTGACTAAGCCATACCAAGTTAGAAGGAGAAAAACTTGCTTGACTCCATTTGGTAATCACCTCAGTTTGTAAGCTTTGGAGCAGGGATTTTCCTCTGCTAGGTTTGTAAGACACAGCTGGTGCTATAAGAATAACATTGCTGTAAAAGTGTATGTCCCTTCATCCATTTAAAAAGTGAAGCTTTTCAATTTCACCAAGTGCTGAAGGCTTATAGTTTACTCAGGGTCTATGACATGAACAAGTCAGACCTAAGAACACACTTAGTCCATTCCTCACTCCATTCTTATCTGACTGTGGGTACCACGGAGCTCTGTGCCAGGTTGCATGGGAAGAGCAGGAGACTTCAGCTCACTGCTGTTCATGGCTTCCCAGGCAGCCCCACATGCGGCAGAAATGGCACGATGCTCTTCCACTGCTTCACTTCCAGATATGAGCTGTATCACACTCCTGCTTTTAACTGTGAAATGATACTGTGTGTTATTAGGTCTTACTTGTACATGTCATAGACCCTGAGTAAATTGAACATAGTTAAGCTGGAGTTATGTTCTCACCAACATAGTCTCACCATTATTTACGGATTTTAATCCCACTGTGAGGCAGGGAAGGATTGTTATCCTCCATTTTACAGATGAGCAATAGAGATACCTGACAGACTCTGGCTACGTTTACACTGCATCCCTCGTGTGCAAAAGCCTATGCAAATGAAGCATGCATTATTATATTGCCATGTTTCATTTGCATAATTAATTAAGGGCCATATTTGCACAAGAAGCTTTTGGGCAAAAAGGAGCCATCTACATAGAACGGCTCTTATGCAAAAGCCTCTTGAGCAAAAATGGCCCCTAATTATGCAAATGAAGCATGCCAATATGCTAATCCATACTTCATTTGCATAGGCTTTTGCACAAGAGGGATGCAGTGTAGACATGGCCTCTATGACTTGAGACAGACTTAGCATTGTTATTTAATAATTTTAAAACATAGCTCAGCAATAACATTATGAACACTGTGTGTTGTTCAGAAATCAGCGTTTTTATTTAGGAGACACGGCAGTGACAGGAAAAGAGCTCAGGACAGGCGTTTTGGAGAGCAGGTGTTATCACAACTTGGAGGACAGCCTTTTGCTTTGCAAGGCATCTCTGTGGGTTGAGTATGAGGCTGCCCTTGATTTCCCCTCCCCATATTCTAGGGCTCCTGGGAGAGTAGGCTATGGAACTCGGTGAAAAGAGAACACTGGCTTGCAACAGCTGCAGGGGGTGCCTGTTCAAGAAGGCCGTCGTGCAGTCCATCACATCCATCATGGATGACAACACTTTCTCCTCTTGCCTCACTTCATATTCCTTGCACACCCTCCTGTGCTCATGCTCCACTCGCATCTCCTCCAGCAGCGTATTCCTCCACTTGCTTACGCACCCTGTCCAAGTTGATGGATTGCCATTGCTCCTTGAACATCTCTTCCTTAGTCCATTTTCACCAATAGATCCAGCTAGCTGGATAACTGGTGGGATTGGGGGAAGGGGCAGCAGGCTCACTGCTGTAATGAAAAGTGAAGAGCAGATATAGCAGTGTAAAGACTGTAGAGTGTAAAGATGCATCTGTTAGAATAAAAGGAAGGGCTTCTAAAGACAAGGTATGCATTATGTAGAAGGCCACAGTTACACTTTTAGGTGGCCACTTTGCAGCAAGTGTACCACAAGGACAGCTAGACTTGGTTCAGTGGCAAGCATGGTAAGCGACAGGCTGGGGCACCAGCCTGTGGGCAGGAGGAAGCAGGGGTCAGGTGTGGAGGCAGAGCAGGGCAGGGGCTCACACAGCACCTGTATGTTCGGCACTCCCATTGGCCAGGAGAGTGCAACTTTCCCTTCCCACAGGAGTGGGGGATGGGAAGGAGGGTCCAGGCATGGCAGCAGGGGGTTTACTGCAGAGGCATCAGCTAATAGCTTCCCCAGCTTCATCCAGGTTGCCATGAGAGAGATCAGTCTTCTCAGAATTACGCAGAGAGATAGGGAGCAGATGCTGACTGAATGTGACCAGAAACCTGGACCTTATGCTGCAATGCTTTCTGCTGCAATGATGCCAGACCACTTCCTACTGACTTGGTGTAGAAAGGTGTCCTACTGTGGAGGACAGAATAAGACGGGCCTCTCCTGAAACCTTGTGAGCGGGATCAAATAATTCCTCTATGAGAGCTGTATGGAGATGTGCAGGGATCAGGGCTGTAAGTAGGTATTTTTGCACCTGGGGCAAAATATTAAGTATGCACCAGCTCTCCTTAGGTTAATGCACATCATGCTCTTTAATGTTGCAGCTTATTATTTTTACTTATTGCGTCTTTGTGCTCCTGATTATGATGCACCCAGGGCAAGTGCCCCACTTGCCCCACCCTAGTTATGGCCCTGGCAGGGAGGATTCTCCAGACATATTAACAAGCTGTTCCAGGGGACCTCCCCACTGTGTAGACACAGTAGCTGCCACAGATCACACCCAATTGCCTTAACCTTAACAATGTGAACTCACCAAACCTGCCTCCTCTGGCACCAGTGCCTGGCTGCAAGACAACTTGGGAGGAGGGGATTGTATACAAAATTATAAAAAGTTCTTGGTTCTCAGTGACCCCATTCGCCTGCTGACTATTCCCCTCCTCCTTCTCCTCTACCAGGCTGTCCTCCATGCTGTTGCCTGAAGTTGCCTAAATGTCTTGGGAGGAATCCATGGCCTGCCTAGGGAAGCTGGTTGGGTCTCCCCAAGGAACACATGCAACTGCTCCTAGAAGCAGCATGTTTGCAGCGATGCTCCAGACCATCCATTTGCCTCCTTTGTCTTTTATTATGATTGCCTCAGCTCCTTTATTTTCACACAACACTGCTGGGTGTCCCTGGAGTATCCTTTCACCTCCATGTCCTTTGCAATCCTGGCATATATATCTGCATTCCTTGTACTAGTTCATAGTTCTGTGGGCACAGATTCCTTTCCCCACACAGCAATGAGAACCAGGATCTCCTGCACACTCCTTACTGGTGCTTGTCTTCAACCCTGGAAATTCATGGAGCCCACAGAACTTAAAATCAAAGAGCTCATGGTCAGTTGTGCTGCCTGCTCTGAGGTCTGATCGCCATGCTGGCCACACAGGAAATGAAATTCTAATTTTTCCAGGACTTTTCATATTCACCTGAAGAGCAGAAGAATTCAAGGTCATAGCCAGAGTAGTCACCGTGGTCACTGAGGGACACTTCCCAGAGGCAAAGAACATCGACTTTCACAGCTCTACATCTGCACTTCTGGAAAGTCAGCCATGCAAGATCGAATTTATCAGTTATTCTTGGTGAAAGCAGGCATACAGAAATCAACTTTTAACAGCCCTTAGAGTCGATGGAGTGGGCTTGATAGTGTGGACTCATTGTTTAGAAAATTGATCTCATGTGGCTAAGTTTGAACTAAACTCCCAGTGTAGACCAGACCTTGGTTAGAAATTGCTGGGGTTACAGCCCAATGGGATAATCTTGTGTTATGTAATATTACTGCAGCAGAAAACTACTGGATTTCTATGCATCCGTGAATGAATAATATTGCCCTTGAATGGCTGGCTCACAGAGCAAACCCTAATGACATATTAGTAGAATCTGGCAAATCAGTGGATATGAGCTTTATATTCATTGGTATCCACCTTTATGGATATGGATGTGGATAAAAATTACGTATCTAGAACCAAGCAAATGTGCAGATATCTTCATTATATCCACAGGTATGCACATCCATGGATGTCAATGTCATTTTTGTGGATACAGGTGCAGATGTGGATATAAAATTTTATATCTGCAGAGGACTCTACCTATTAGTACTACTAGTAACAAGAGTACATGTTTAACTTGAGCAACGGAGTATTTTTTGGAGCTGAAGAAAGAAAAGAGTTTTCATCCTAGCTCTCCACATATTTGGATCACATTTCTGAGATAATTGTGTAGTATGTCACAACTAAATTAATCACACAGATGTGAGCACACATATGTGTTGGAAATGACATAATTGGAACCATAAGTTTGATGTTTGGGGTTTTTATGGCGCCTTTGAGAGCAGCTGCCCATCAGCAACTAGAAAGCCTTTCACAACATAGTCAATGGGAAATATACAAGATCAGTAGGACAGATTTTGGTTTTAAGCTTCCAAGAGAATTATTGTAAGATCCAGGCTCATTATTTTCAAAACATTACATGTATAATTAAATGTTTTAAAATAATAATCTTGTGTGTATTCATAAATTATATATAAACATCATAAGCATTATATATATATTGATATATAAAATACTGAGACACTGTCATGCCATTATAAAAATAATTTGCCTAATGAGATTACCAGGCAGCATTTTATCAGTAAAGTGAATTAAGTCTCACACATCAAAATGGTCAACCATGAAAAGCTGCTTTGTATGCTGGAGGTGCAAGAGGCTAGGATATAAACCACCACCTGTGAAACAAAGCTTAATACTGTGCATTATTATAGGGATGACAGCCCCATGATGAATATCTGTTTTGCATGCTGTGATTTCTAATAGATCAAACAGAACAGGATTCTAATCTTGACATCGTCGGTGCATACAAATGAGAGAGAATTTTATAAAGATCTGTATTTATAAATTACTTTTTTCCACTATTCTTTGTGAGTAATGCCCTCCTAGACGTCCATGGTGATTCAGCAAAGTTCTGCAATCCCAGGTGACCATTTAGCATTGAAGTATCAATAGAGGAATAGCAAGCAGCCTGTATTGCTCCTTTGGATTTCTTTCTTGAAACTATAAATCTATCATGAGCATGTTTAATATAACAGATAACATCAGCAGGCCACAGGTGTTAGAATAACCTACCCTTCTCAGACTGATAGGATATTAGAGAACAAATCTGGAGCATTTTTTAAATATGTGGAGTGTTTATTGCACCAGGGGGTATATCCTAGGGCCATGATCAACAACCCATCAATCGCGATCGACTGGTTGATTGTGGGGGCACGACTCGACTGCGAGGTGTTCCAGTCCCCCCACCCCCAAAAAGTAGCCCGAACTGGCACTATCTACAGGGAAAATGGAGATAGCACTGGCTTCCTGCAGAGTGGGTAGAGAAGTCCCGCAGCTGCGTGCCAGACATAGCATCTCAGGAAGTGTGCAGGCTACTTCTCCTCTCCCCCAAACAGCTGGCACGCTTCCTGAAAAGCTGGGTCTGGTGCACGGCCGGGGACTTCCTTCCCCCTGCTTCCTTCCTGTGATGGTGGCAGTGGGGGGTTGGGTGGGGTAGGGTGGGGAGGAGGGAAGTCTTAGGCTGCAGGGACATCCCCTTCCCCCTTGCAGGAAGGCAGGCAGCACAGGGAAGGAAGTTCTCAGCTGCAAGCCACATCCAACTTCTCAGGAAGCACGCCAGCTGTTTTGGGGAGGGGAGGAGTAGCCCACATGCTTCCTGAGATGCTGGCAATAGCATTATTCCTCATGAAAAGCAGGACTACAGAGTTAAAATTCTGTGACCTCCTTTTCTGGAATAACAGGCTTGACAGTGTGGACGCATTACTTACAAATTCAACCGGGAGGGAAGGGAACTAATTTTGGACTAAGGTCCTAGGGTAGACCAGGCCCTTGGGAGTAAAAGGAGACCCTTAATTATCACACTGTATACAAAGAACTGTTACATGGATAAAAAATATTTTTGTGTGCTGCCGTAACTATTTCTTGAGACAATTTATACAAAAATAAGAACAGTACATACAGCCACTCAAGCTTGTGCAGATCTTCAAATACACCAGGCTTTAAAAAGGTTATCTTGTTGTAACTCAGATACCTGAAACAACATCAATAAAGATAAAAAGTAGACTTGCCAATCCGTGAAGAATTGTAAGATTTTCCTTTATTATTCCTAAGAGTACTGTTAAATTGCATCCTCAAGAAATTCTATTGTTTACAATAAAACATTTAACTTTGTGTGACTATGATCACACACTGACCCTTGATCTCTTTCAGGAAGCTAGTGTTTGTCCCGTAGCAGCCTGACTTTCTGATTAAAGATATGGCTGCATGAACAACAGTGAAGCTACTCCACCTGGAACTTTTTGCCAAGGATAATCTAGAATTCCTTGATTTTTTTTTCTGTTAGAAAACCAGTCACCAACTCGCCAATTGCGATCAACTGGTCAATTGCGGGGGCACGACCAGTCAATCATGAGGTGTTCCAGACCCTCCCTCCATTCTCTCTCCCTGGCCAGACCCCCATCCAGCACCCTGCCTCTGCCCACTGGCCAGATCCCATCAGGCACCCTCCTCCTGCCCTAGCCAGACACCATCCAGCACCCTGTCCCCTGGCTGGACACCCACCAGCACCCTACCCCTGCCTCCTGGCCAGACACCCACAGCACCTTGCATCTGTCCCCTAGCCAGACACCCACCAGCACCCTGCCCCTGCCCCTACTCCCTCCCTCCTGGCCAGACACCTACCAATGTGCCTAGACCTCACTAGCAACTCTCTGTAGGCAGTCCTTTATCACTTGAAAATTGGTTTCAAAACTTGTGTGTTTACAGCTTCCTCCCCCCCCAACCAAAATATCATGGAAGTGGAATGACTTTCCTGCAGTACGGAAAGTACCGCTCTAGAAAATCTTTTTGGGTGAGTTTGAACACAAATATTGTATATGTTGAGCTATAAACTCATGGGCTACATCTAGACTGGCATGATTTTCCGCAAATGCTTTTAACGGAAAAGTTTTCCGTTAAAAGCATTTGCGGAAAATCATGCCAGTCTAGATGTAGCCCATGAGTTTATAGCTCAACATATACAATATTTGTGTTCAAACTCACCCAAAAAGATTTTCTAGAGCGGTACTTTCCGTACTGCAGGAAAGTCATTCCACTTCCATGAGACCCTCTCATAAATAGAGACAAAGCTGAAACATTGTGAGTTTGACATAACATTGTATTTAAATATGAAGCCTGGTCAACAAGACCCCAATTGGGGCCAAACCCCCATTTGGCTGCAACTCCTGCATCCCCTTGACCCCAAACCTGAGCCTATCATACACTGGAACCCCCTGTCCTGAGCCTCTCACGTCCCCACATCTTCTGCCACAACACCCCTGCACCATCCACACACTGCAAATCTGTGTCCTGAGCTCATCATACTCTCAATCCCCTTGCCCTGAGCCCCCCAACCCAAACTCCTGCACCCTCACAGCCACAAGCCTGCGGCTTTTTTTTTCCCCCACCCCACAAGCCTGCGGCTTGCTCAGCACCTCAACCCTCCATCTGACCCCAACACTCTCTAGCCTGGAGCCCCCTCCCAGAGCCCACATCCCCTTCTCCACATCCTCCTGCACCCAAATTCCCTCCCAGAACTTGCACTTCACACCCCTTACCACACCCAAATCCTTCATTCCCACCCCAGAGCCCGCACCTTCTGTATCTACCCACTGAAAATGAATAAGAGCTGGGGACAGCAAGGGTATGTCTAGGCTGCATCCCTCTGTCAGCAGAGGGATGCAGGTTAGGCAGGTCGACATTGCAAATGAGGCAGGGATTTAAATATCCCGTGCCTAATTTGCATAAAAATGGCCGCCGCGTTTTGCCAACTCAGCACTTTGTCAGCAAAAAGTGTCAGTCTAGAGGGGAATCTGTCGAGAAAGAAAGCCTTTTTCGACAGATCCCTTATGCTTCCAAGTGATGTAGAGGAGAGCAACAGAGAAGGCGAGGCCTCAAGGAAAGGGTAGGGTCTTCTTGGCTTGTCTTGAAATTTAAAAAGTGATCTTGGGTATAAAAAGGTTAGAAACCACTGTCTTAGGGGTTACCATTCATCTGATTTTTCCCGGACATGTCCTCCTTTTTGGTCTTTAAATTTCCATCTGGACGGGTTTTTTAAATAACTAAAAATGTCGGGGATTTTGCTGTATATTCAGTAACAGACCAGATGCTTCCCTGCTCCACTGAGTCCATCCCCACTCAAGCATCCCCCCCCAATCCCACTGTAGCCTTCCTGAAGGAAGTTTGGCCTTTCAGTGGCCCGTATACACAGCAGGGCTTCCTTAGCAGTGGGCGGGAGGGGTAACTTGAGTGGGCCTGGTGCTTCCCTGGTGGGTTGGGGGCCGCATGGAACTCGTACTCCCCCAGGTCCAGAATCTCTGTACTCTGCATGCAGGAGACCTCCAGGCTCCCAGCAGTGCCTCAGAGACCCACCACCCTCTCGTAGACCTGATCCCTGCAGCCCCCAGAGCCTTATAAATACCCCCATGGATGCAAATCCCACAGAGCCTCTTTAAATCCCCCTAGCACTGGACCTCTGTTCCCCCACCCTGAGTCCCATCAACACCCCCTGACTTGAACCACACGTTCTTACCAGAGCTGTGCAAACATCCCCAAAATCCAAACCCCATGTTTTTCTTGAGCCTTGCATAAGCCCCCATTGTTATGCACCCCGCCATGCCCTAAAATGGCTCTGTAGCGCTGTAATCCTACGTCCCCCTCCAGAGTCAGGACCGGTTACTGGGGCAGGAGGAACCCGGGGCAGGTTACTGGGGAAGGAGGGGCAGGAGCCTCAGGCAGGTTTAGGGTTACCAGGGTGGGGGGATCAGGATGGGTTACCGGGATTGGGAGGAGGGCTTAGGGAGGAAGGCTTAGGGCGGGTTACGTGGGGTAGGGGTAAGTAGTACACAGTATATTATATACTCATGTTGTATACTCATGTTACTCATTGTATATGCTCATGTATTCATGTGTTTTTTATATATATAGATGTATAATCACGTGAATATAACGTGAGTTGGTAGATGATGATACAGATCTCAGGAGAATCATCTTTTTTGAAAGTTCGAATATGGTAACCCTAGATATCCTGACGTCCCTAGAATCTAGTCCCCCAAAGGTGCTGAGTGATCCGTACTACTACTACTACAGAAAGTTTCCCCTTAAAATGAATCCTAGGTTTTTACAAACAAGCCTTTATCTACATACCAGCTTTAACACGGCAGCGGCTTCACACACAGAGGAAAAAAGCCTTGCAAGACTTCAGCAGCATTCTAAGTTTTTCCTTAACAAAAATGCAGTGGTGGTATCTGCAGCTGCAAAAACAATCTATACCAGGAGTGGGCAAAAGGGACTCTGCGGGCTGGATCCAGTCCTCCAAGTGGGTGGATCCAGCCCACAGAGGACCTGCCACTCTCTCGCCACCAAGCCAATTAGGGCCTGGGGACAGGGGAGTGCGTGAAGCCTCCTCCCACCCTGGCAGGAGATGTGTCCTTTTAAGCACTGGGTGTAGTGTTGCCAGATGACTCATCAGTTAACCTTTTACACTATCACAACCCTAATCTGAACACCCAGTAGAGGCCTGTGGTTTTTGAAGGTGTCACTGTATTATCAGGAGAGATGCAACTGTGCTCTAAGAGCAGCACCACTCCAAGACTCATGGCCATGCCAGCAGTACTGTCAGATTCCTGGAACATCAAGCAGGATCACAATTTCCTGGTCTGGACTAGCAAAATATGGTACAGTCCCAAAACAAATGGGACCTTTGGCAAATACAGATGCAGAAAGTTATGCAAACTGTCACCACAGAGCTGTTCACCGGCTACTAATGGTATGGGATGAGCAAACCAGGCGGGAAAAAACAAATACAAAACCTTCCTTCTGAAACTCACATTCATTTCCGAGTACCAAACTCAGATGACTAAAGGAATGTTCAGCTCAGCATTATAACTTCCAAATTCATATCCAGGCCTAGAATTAGAAGTGTCAGCTGTCTCCTGATTAACACAGTTAGGAAATTTCCAGTTCAATCTTACAGGCAGCGGACTGGGGAGCAGGGCAGTAAAAATGTTTAGAGTGTTTCATACTGGTATTCATCACCATAGCATCAGAGCATGTGAAATTTTACCACTCATTTCAATGGGAGCAGTTAGGTCAATGTTTAAATCCTTTAGAAAACTGCCAATCCTTGAATTAGGTTTAGGTTCATTTAGAACTTCTTGAATTAATTTAGTTCTTTACAAATTACAGAGTTGGACCAAGAACAATGTTCCCCTAATGTTTTCCATCCATGTTTGTAATAAATGTTGTTATGTGCATCAAAGCAGGTGTGGATATGCACCACCAATAGAAACACATGCTACAGGCTATGTGCACTACAGGCACTCTGCTAATCAGCTGACTGGCATTTGAATCTTTCCTGAGTGGCTGGCCAAGTGCTCAGCTTACAAGGAACACTGATCAAAAGATTTTGCACTTAGGACTGAAAGGAAAATCTTTTTTTTTTAACTGCCACTTTACAAGAGATGTCATAGTAAGAGTTATATATAATCTATACTGTGGCATGAACAGCTCCAAGTCTTTCCATGTTCATGTCGATGCTTTAAATAGCTATTGGAAAGTGCAGATATAAATCTATAACCTACATTCATAAGACAAGATGAAGGAACAGGAAGGAAATGTTAAATTCTCTTCAGATGGCTACTTTGGAGATTTGGGGATAACTTCTTGGTACAAGTGCTGAAGGAACCTATGAGGGGCCATGCGCAACTTGACCTGCTCCTCACAAACAGGGAGGAACTAGTAGGGGAAGTGGAGGTGGGTGACAACCTGGGAAGCAGTGATCATGAGATGGTAGATTTCAGGATCCTGACTAAAGGAAGAAAGGAGAGTAGCAAAATATACATCCTGGACTTCAGAAAAGCAGACTTTGACTCCCTCAGAGAACTGATGTGCAGGATTTCCTGGGATGCTAACATGAAGGGGAAAGGAGTCCAGGAGAGCTGGCAGTATTTTAAAGAAGCCTTATTAAAGGCACAGGAAGAAACCATCCCAATGCGCAGCAAGAAAAGCAAATATGGTAGGAGACCAGATTGGCTTACTGGGGACATCTTTGGTGAGCTCAAACACAAAAAGGAAGCTTACAAGAAGTGGAAACTTGGACAGTTGAATAGAGAGGAGTATAAATATATTGTTCGAGAATGCAGGGGAGTTATCAGGAAGGCGAAAATGCAATTGGAATTGCAGCTAGCAAGGGATATGAAGGATAACAAGAAAGGTTATCCTTTCAAGGGATGTGAAGGATAACAAGAAAGATAACAGACATGTTAGCAATAAGAGGGTGATCAGAGAGGGTGTGGGACTCTTACTACATGAGAAAGGTAACCTAGTGACAGATGTGGGAAAAGCTGACGTACTCAATGCTTTCTTTGCCTCTATCGTCACAGACAAGGTCAGCTCCCAGACAAATGCAGTAGGCAATGCAGTATGGGAAAGAGGTGCACAGCCCATAGCAGGGAAAGAACAAGTTAGAAACTATTTAGAAAAGCTAAACGTACACAAATCCATGGGCCCAGATTTAACGCATCCGAGGGCACTGACGGAGTTGGCAAAAGTCATTGCGGAGCCTTTGGCCATTATCTTTGAAAACTTGTGGAGATTGGGATAGATCCTAGATGACTGGAAAAAGGCAAATGTGGTGCCCATCTTTAAAAAAGGGAAGAAGGACAATCCAGGGAACTATAGACCAGTCAGCCTTACCTTAGTCCCTGGAAAAACCATGGAGGGGATATTCAAGGAATCCATATGAAGCACTTGGAAGAGGGGAAAGTGATCAGGAATAATCGACATGGATTCATGAAGGGCAAGTTGTGCCTGACCAATCTGATTAACTTCTCTGATGAGGTAACTGGCTTTGTGGATATGGGAAAGTCAGCGGATGTGATATACCTTGACTTTAGTAAAGCTTTTGATACAGTCTCCCACA